ACCCGTCCTCGTCCGTTTTCTCTTTCTTCGCTATATTTTTATAAGCCTGGGCGGGGGACCCCCCCCCCAAACCGGACTCCTGGGATCTGGGGCTTCGGGGCCCTCCGAACTGGCCTCGAAGCGGCCCCCCGGGCCTCCTAAGGCGTTTTGCCAAGCCTTCCCAGCACACCTAGGGCGATCAGGGGGGTCATCGGAGACGTCTCAGAGACCCCCAAGACAGCACAAGAGCGCTTCAAGAGTGACTGACGTGACCTCAAGATGGGTCAAGAGGCCTCCAGGACGGCCCCAAAGAGGCCTCCAAGAGCACTCCCAAGAAGGCCCCAAGAGGCACAAATCATGGATTTTCCGTTGATTTTTGGTGAATTTTGGGGTTCTCCTCTTTTCGGCTTCCCGACGCTCCAAGACGACGGTCTTCTGGGCGTCCGAAGCCGCCTGGGAGGCTCCCAAATTGCCCCACAACCATCCGAAAGGGCTTCCAGGCAGTCCAAGAGAGCCCCAAAACGGCACAACACGGGTCCAAGATGGCCCTCAGAGAGCCCCATGGCGGCCCAAGATTGCCCCAAGACACCCTCCGAAGCATTCCAAATCGTGACCCGGTCGTTCAGGGAGACCGCGGTTGGAGGCAGGGTGGCCCGAGGAAGCCCCCAGATGTCCCCAGAATACGCCCAGGAGGCCCCCAGAAGGCCATAAGAAAGCCTGAAACAACTTTTGTGAGGCCCCCAGAGGCTCTCCCAGGAGGAGCCTCCGCAAAAAAGAGCTGAGGAGGATGGGGAGAAGGCGCAGGGTATGGCGAACATGAAGAAAAAGAAGCATGGAGGAAGGATAACGAATAACATTATCACAGCGGCGATGCCGGAACATGCAACAAGGAGTTATCGCTAACTTGTCAGCTTGACCTTCCTGCTATTCCGCCTGCATGCCAAACTTCAAAGACCAAGGTGCATGGCGCGCAGCGCCACTGCAGTCTTGTGTATGTATGTATGTATATACATATACACACACATTCCTATCTTAATTATCTCACACCAGGGATGGCCAACACCCCCCCCAATAGAATCTGGCGGTCCCAAAGGCCCCGGAGGCTCTTCTCTGGCCCGTCCCTGAGGGCCCCAAAAAGTCTCCAGGAGAAAACCGGAAACAGTCACGATGGCCCCGAAACACCCAAATATCTTCCCAGACGCCCAAGATGCCCCCAAGACAGCCCAAGAGGCCTCTAAGACGCTTCAAGAGGCGGCCAAGAAGCTTCCCAGGAGGGCCCCAAGAGGCCCAAATCATTGATCTTCCATGGGAAAACGTATATTTTCAGCACATACGACTTTTCGCCTTTTACGGCGTCGAAGACGGTCCAAGATGCCCCTGAGACCGCCCCCAGACGGGCCAAGAGGCTCCAAAGAGGCTTCCCAAAACGGCCCAAGAGGGCGCCAAGACGGCCCAAGAGGCGCCCAAGACGGCCCAAGAGGGCCCCAAGACAGCCCCAAGAGGCCCCAAGAGGGTCCCAGGAGGGCCCCAGGGAGCCACCAAGAGAGCCCCCAGACGAGTCAAGGCCTCCAAGACGCCCCAAGACGGCCCAAAAGCGCCCCAAGACGGCCCAAAAGGGTCCAAATAGGCCAAAGAACACCAACAGATTCCGAAAACCACTAAAGGAGCCCAAAGACGCCAAAGAAAAGAGCGATCGGAAGCCCCCAAATCAACCCGCAAAGGAGCACTAAGAAGGCTCATAGACGCCAAAGAAAAGAGCGATCGGTAACGTAAAAGCTCTGCACACCAAGGCTCCCAAGAGCGAACGGGGACATAGCAAACTCTGACAACCAAGGCTCCCAATAGTGAGCGGCAACGTCACTATCTCTGACAACCACGGCTCCCAAGAGCGAGCGGTGACGTAACCAGCCCTTCACACCAAGGCGCCCAAGAGCGACAAGCGCCATGAACCATCGCGTGCAAGCCTCCAAAAAGCCGCTTTTTCCTTTTCCGTGCCGGCCCAGGACATCCATGAGGCTTCATACCCATGACCCAGACACGGTGGCTCGCTGGGCCGAACGCCATTCGATCGAATCTGGATGGCCTTCGGGGTCCAACATTCCTCCTTGGAGTTCGATGTGACTTTCATTGTGTGCCGGCACGATCGCCGCTCTGATCATCCGTTGCTGCAGGCTCAAGTTCCATCACGTCAGGCCGCTCCCATGCCACCGAAACGCTCAGCTTTCGCTTGCGCCCAATGCCACCAACTTCTACCTCTTTCTGCTTATTCCTCAACGCAGCTGCATTCGTCCTCTGACAGAACCTGGTGCAAGGAGTGCTGTTCTACTGTCAACGAAGCTGTCCTTCTCAAGCCCTGTGTCAACTGTGGGGTCGAGCTCCCTGAGACGAACTACGCGAAAAACCAATGGAAAGGAACTGCTAGGACGTGTCTGAGTTGCACGGAGGCCGCACCCCGAAAGAGTGGGACATCTAAATCAACCCTCACTTCCATTTCTTTGGGAGATATGTCCACACAGTGCGACCACTGCTGTTTACCTCCGGGGCTCCACGTGGCCCTTCCGAAACCGAACGAAGACGACGGCAACGTCGACCCAAACCAACCCAAATGCCGAAAGGCCCCCAAAACTGTTTCAGAAAACCGCGAGCCACTTCTATATGACCGTCGTCGAACGCGCACCCCTGTTTCCATCACCGCACTTGCTTTGCCTTTTCTGGCAGCCCCATTGGCCTGCACATGTAGCTGCGCCTCGGCCCAATACGCCTGTTTGTCTTCCCCCCTTTGCCCTTGACAATGCACTACGCCAAGACTTTAAAGCGAAGCGCAGCGATCTTCAAGTCTTGTGTGTGTATATATATATGTATATATGTGTTTGTGTGTATATGTATGTATGCATGTATGCATGCATGTATGCATGTATGCATGTATACATATAACGGCGCACCGGGTCCGGGGGCCCGGGGCCGGGACCCCGACCACAAATGTGGGCTCCGGGGGGCCCGGAGGCTCGTCGGACCGCCGGACGCCGTCCAAGATCGTTCGCAGGCGGCTTCGGAACGCGCTCCGATGGCTCCAGATGCCTTCCAAGACGCCTGTCATGACACCAAGAAGGTCCCAGAAGCCTCCAAGACGCTCCGAGAGGCAGCCCAAGAGAGGCCCAAGAAGCAAAAATCGTGCCATTCCTATGGGAAAACGTATATTTTTCGCATGCTCGCCTCTTGGGCTTTCACCGCGTCCAAGACGGCCCAAGAGGCGCCCAAGACGGTCTACGATGCCTCCGGGAGCGCTCCAAGGCTGCGCACGAGTGGCTCAGGACGGCCCCAAGACGGCCCAAGAGAACCCCAAGACGACTTCGAGAGGGGTCCCAGACGGAGAAAGCCACTCTCGAATTCCGAGCTTCCGGCCCAACATATCCCAGGAGGCGCCAAAACGCCGCCCAGAGGCGCCAAAAGGCTTCCAAAATCAGCCCAAGACGTTCCGAGAGGCACCCCAAGAGAGATCCAAGAAAGAAAAATCGTGCCATTCCTATGGGAAAACGTATATTTTTCGCATGCTCGCCTCTTGGGCTTTCACCGCGTCCAAGATGGCCCAAGAGGCGCCCAAGACGGTCTACGAGGCCTCCGGGAGCGCTCCAAGGCTGCGCACGAGTGGCCCAGGACGGCCCCAAGACGGCCGAAGAGAGCCCCAAGATGAGTTCGAGAGGGGTCCCAGACGGAGAAAGCCAACCTCGAATTCCGAGCTTCCGGCCCAAGAGGCTCCAGGAGGCGCCAAAATGCCGCCAAGAGGCGCCAAAAGGCTTCCAAAAGCACCCCAAGACGTTCCGAGAGGCACCCCAAGAGAGGTCCAAGAAACAAAAATCGTGCCATTCCTGTGGGAAAACGTATATTTTTCGCATGTTCGCATCTTGGGCTTTCACCGCGTCCAAGACGGCCCAAGAGGCCTCCAAGACGGCCTAGGAGGCCTCCGGGAGCGCTCCAAGGCTGCGCACGAGTGGCTCAGGACGGCCCCAAGACGGCCCAAGAGAACCCCAAGACGACTTCGAGAGGGGTCCCAGACGGAGAAAGCCACTCTCGAATTCCGAGCTTCCGGCCCAACATATCCCAGGAGGCGCCAAAACGCCGCCCAGAGGCGCCAAAAGGCTTCCAAAATCAGCCCAAGACGTTCCGAGAGGCACCCCAAGAGAGGTCCAAGAAACAAAAATCGTGCCATTCCTATGGGAAAACGTATATTTTTCGCATGTTCGCATCTTGGGCTTTCACCGCGTCCAAGACGGCCCAAGAGGCCTCCAAGACCGCCCCAAGACGGCCCAAGAAGCTTCCAAGAGGGCCCCAGGACAGCCCAAGAGGGCCCCAAGACGGCCCAAGAGGCGCCCAAGATGGCCCAAGAGGGCCCCAAGACGGGCCCAAGAGGGGGCCCAGAGGGGGACCACGAACCGCAAGCTCGAGCCTTCCGCCCCAAGAGGCCGCCAGGAGGCCCCAAGGAGGCCCCTCAAGAGGCCCCAGGAGACCCCCAAGAGGCCCAAAGGAGGCCCCGAGAAGCCCCAAATCGGCCCCCAAAATGCTTCGAACCTGCTTCCAGGAGGCCCCCGACAGGTTCAGAGGCTCCCGAGAAGCTACGTCAAACTCCCAGCGAGCGGCCGGACGAGGCCCCCCACAAAATCACAAGAGGGTTCCAGTATTTGTATCCTTCAGCGCTCTCTGGCCTTCTTCCCCCTGCCCCCTTCCCTGCGACTTTCGTTGACTCAAGCTCGCCTCCTAGCTAGAACCTAAGCGCGCGCGAAGCGCGCGCGGTATCTAGTATGTATGTATGTATGTATGTATGTATGTATGCATGCATGCAGCATGCATGCATGCATGTGCATGTATGTATGTATGTGTATGTGTATGTGTATGTGTATGTGTATGTGTATGTGTATGTGTATGTGTATGTGTATGTGTATGTGTATGTGTATGTGTATGTGTATGTGTATGTGTATGTGTATGTGTATGTGTATGTGTATGTGTATGTGTATGTGTATGTGTAT